ACCCTATCTAAAAAGCAGTATGAAAGCTGGTAAATAGAAAGTACGATTAGTTTTTTTCATCACTTTTTATTGCAATCTATCTATTTATACAATTTATAGCAAAACGAATAGTTTATAAAGTGGTGTTCATGATTACAAATGCAAAACATAACCGTAAAGGTGTCGAACGGTACTCTCAAATAAGGTAAAAGCTCAGGTTAATATACTACGAACAAAAACTAACAATAAGACTATAAGAGCATTGAAATTGTAACCAATTCAATTATTTGTGCTAATGAACAGTTTCATTCTAAAATGAAAAATATCTGTAAATACCTTTAGTTACTCGTATTATCTGATAAAGGTAAAGACTTATTATCAATAATTAAAGTAAACACTCTAAATCAATGCTCTAAAATATATTTAAACTTGCACCCATTATTCGTAAAAAATTGCAAATATTTGTTCCATAAAACTTTTTATACAAAAACGTATTTCAAGTTACAATTTGAACAAATCAATATTCCCACGATCTAAATTTGAGTAATAGTCACAAAATCAATAGCAAAACCATCCATCATATTACCTATTATATGAAATACGTGTGAAAATAACTTTTCAGAGATATATTTCGAAACAAAAAAACTTATATATAGTGTTATAAGTTATTATATAACATTATATTTTATTATAAGTAATTATCACAGAGCATTATTCAATATTATAAAAAATCTTACAAAAATAAATTATAACATTCACAGGTACAAGAGGTAAAATGTAGCGTAATGAATTGGAAGCATGAATAAGATATATTAAAAATTTTATGATCTCCCGGCAAGAAAAATAATGAATAAAAACAATTATTTTCATACTTTCTCGTTATAATTGTTTTCTCGATTTCGTGTTAAAAATTTGAACATAAATTCAACGTTTCTATCCATTAGGGTGGTCCTTAAAATGGTCATTTTCAAATTTCCTTGCTCCCAGGGGCTCAAATGGTTCCAAATAGATAAAAAACAATTCTCTGAAAGTTTTTTCTCTTAATATTAACGTTTAGATAGAGCGCAATTCAATCAAAGTTTTGTATGAAAATAGCATGAAAAAATTTTCAAATTAAAAAAAATTTTTTTTAGATGTAATTTAGCAAACAAATGAATGAATAAAACTCATTCATATGTCGCTAAGTTATACCTAAAACATTTTTTTTAAATTTTCAAATTTTTTTCCATGCTCTTTCCATACGAAGTTTGATTGAATTGCGCTCTATCTAAACGTTAATATTAAGAGCTAAAACTTTCAGAGAATTGTTTTTTATCAATTTGGAACCATTTGAGCTCCTGGGAGCAAGGAAATTCGAAAATAACCATTTTAAGAACCACCCTACTATCCATATACATTAGCATAGATATATATACTAATACCCTAGTAGAAATGTATCGTGGCTAGAGAGGTAAAATATCGTGGCGCAATATTCGAATCTTGTCTTTAGATGGACCGGGCAATATTTGTTTTCAAAATTATGGAAAATTTGGAAAATTCATCGGAAAAGTGTTTTATATGGTTTATTACAAATAATAAACATGTTTACCATCTGATTTACGCCTTTAATTTTATATTTACACGAATTATACATGATTTTTAAATGTGGGTTTCATGCATTTTTTTTCTGGGCGACCAAGATTCGTTTTTTCAGTATTATCGAACTTGGGAAATACATGGTATTTATAAGGGTCACGAAAAAAATTAACTTTAAATAATTAATTAGCCCCAAAATCATGATTAAGGCTTTTAAAAAGTTGTATGTTCGATCGCAATTAATAGTTTGATACATTTTCTTATAAATTCAATATAAATTTTAAATGTGGGTTTTATGCATTTTTTTTCTGGGCGTCCAAGATTTGTTTCTCCAGTATTATCGAACTTGGGAAATACATGGTATTTATAAGGGTCACGAAAAAAATTAACTTTAAATAATTAATTAGCACCAAAATCATGATTAAAGCT